GTGAACTTTGATAAGCAGTTCTCGATAATCAGTTCTCAACAATTATTTGTTATTATTAAAGTTTAACATTATAAAATGAACAAAAATAATATAAAACTCATATCCTGGCAAAATAGCCACAAGGCAGTGTTGGGACCAGAATTGCCACTGAGAGACCACCACACACATGTAAAGACAAAAAGTGCTTTATTTTGCAAGCATGTACCTGGGCCACTCTTCCCTTCAGCATGGCTGGAGGAAGGGCGACACCCTAGTGAAGTGAGCTGAGGTTTTTAAATCACATAGAGGAATTTCATCATGTGTTTTGTTGGACGGGGCTGCTATTGGCTGAGCTGTTTATGGTTAGGGACCCTGGGGGGGCTACTTGTTTGTTCCAGACAGTTTGGCTCCTTCTGACCTAATTGTCCTTGCCTAGAAATGAGGGAGGGAGCCAGTCTCCTTCTGATACCAATTCCACCTTGGAGACCTTGCCCAGGAGGGGAGTAGGGAGCTTACATTAGCCTTTTTATTTCCAAATGAAGTTACAGTAACCTCTTCATTCCCAAATGGAGTTACATTAACCTTTCAGCAGCTGAAAACCATATATTCCCTTCCCATTGTCCCACCATTCCCTAGCTTGTCATGTATTCTTTCCAAAAATCGGGACTTTTATTTAAAACACTGCGGGATGTGGTACAAACTGTTAAAAATCAGGACTGTCCCGCCAAAAGCAGGACGTCTGGATACCTTAGTCTCACTCTCCCTTAGGTTTACCAGACTATAACTCATGTAGTTCAGAAGTCCCATGAACACAGAATCCCTTGTGGTGTTTAAATGTTTTCATGAGGCCAGGCATGGTGGCTCACCTATAATCCTAGCATTCTGGGAGGTCAAGGCAATAGCAATTCAGACCCAGTTTTTCAAAAACTCACACTTTAATCCTTGCCTTATCAGTGAAGGATACTTTTAAAGATTAGGTCTTAAAGCCAGCCCTAGGGTTTTGCAAACAAGATCATTCAGCCCAACTGTGGGAAAAGTTATATTATGCTGACTCCAAAGTACTTGAGCTTCATCCCTTTTTTTATTTTTTGGTAGAGACAGAGTTTCACTTTATCACCCATGGTACAGAGCCATGGCATCACACAGCTCACAGCAACCTCCAACTCCTGGGCTTAGGCAATTCCCTTGCCTCAGCCTCCCGAGTAGCTGGGACTACAGGTGCCTGCCACAATGCCCAGCTATTTTTTGTTGCAGTTTGGCCAGGGCCAGGTTTGAACCTGTCATCCTCAGTATATGAGGTCTGCGCCCTACCCACTGAGCCACAGGCGCCGCCCTTTTAGCTTCATCTTCTTGTACTAAAATGAATACAAGAGGAATTTCTTGATGACTCCAGAACAAGCTTACTGAAGAAGACCATTTTTTCCCTGTGTTCTAACAGAGTTGTCACTGCACACTCAAAGGAAAGCCCCAGAGACTCTGAGTTTTAGGAACATAGAGCCCCTAAGTGCTGCAGATTCACCCTTCATTTGCAGCCCATGGGCAGGTCTTAATCATCTAGTTTCACTCAGGGTACGCTAGAGAAGGGTTTCAACCACATGAGCCAGCCAGAGGCATTGAGGTCCAAATGAGGGGTCCTGTGCTCCTGGTGATTTCTCATGGATATGCTGGTATTTGGCACAATGAGCAGTGCACATTTGGAGGGCCTTCCAAACTAACTATTCCCCAGAAAAGCCATCAGATTATTCTTACTGCTTCTGTGGAAGAACTTCTTAAGTTCCATGGGTTGACACATTCCTGGACCTATATCTATGGCATGAATCTATGGAGACTGGGTCACACCATGCTTGGCATGATCTGGCCTCCAGAACAGCCCCTAAGATGGCTGGGGAAGTCTCTGCAGAGGGCTTATAGGAGAACATGAACCAAGGCAACTAAAGAGTGGAGTTAAGGCCCCAGAAATTCCAGATTAGCTCGGTAACCCCTGACTTTAGTGAAGGGTAAGCTCACAGAGAGAAACCCTGTGAGCCACTTGTGTACAGGGCCCTGGCTCATAGCCAGACAGGCTTTAGGACAGGTAGGAAGGCAGAGGCCACATGCTGGGAGCCTAGAATCTGAGAGAAGCCTCTGGCAAAAGGTCGTAAGGGGTCAGCTGAGAACAGGGCCAGCAGTGTCAGAAGGTAAGTATATAGAGACACAACATGTCAAGTAAGAACTGTTCACTATTGTTATCTAAGTGTCTCTGTCTCTGTGTGATGGCTCCATTGCAAGCTGCCTTGGGCCCCCTATAAGAGCCTAGCCTCTAGGTCACACCTATCCCCTGAGAGTGCTTGGTGCAGAGGCTTTCTAGCCCCCCCGTTCTAGTTCTCAGTTCTCCTCACCCTCTACCTCTGAGCACAGTAAGGGGCTCTGTCAACAGGTCTGCATCACCCCATCCTATAGCTGCCAACAACCTCAGCAGGAAAACCAGCTATAGCCCATCCACCTGCTAGGCTCTGCTTCATTCCCCCTGTGCTTACTGAGCTCATCCTTACCCCACTAGAAGGGAAACCTAACCTGGTTCCCAAGGCCTAAGGCTGCTTAACTGCTGGGCCCTCCATCTGTGGCTTGTCATCTGTACTTGATTGTTCTCACTTGGTTACAGGCTCTCCCTCTCTGCCAGATAAGTACCGCCATGCCCGGGAAATGATGTTGCTGCTGCCCACACACCGGGACCGCCCAAGCAGTGCCATGTATCCAGCAGCCATCCTGGAGAATGGACAGGTAGTACTGTCCTCTGCCGCAAGTTTCTTGACCTATGCCTCCCCCATTGCATTCACTGGGCCTTCTGCATTGTCCTATATACCTTCCCCATTCTACTGAACCATCTCTCAGAAGACTGCTGTGCTCCTGGGTGAGAAGGGAAGTGAATCTGAGGGCCAGCAATTCAAAGGACAAGTGTAGGTAGAATGGCAGTAGGGTTGGAACCTACTTCATAGAACCTTACTTCTATGGCTGTCTGTCCTTTTGGCCACACTCCTGGACTGCTCATTCCTGAACAATCTGGAAAAAGAAATTAGTTCTTTGCAGCCTGTCTCGAGAAAGCAGGGGTAGAGATAGGTCTGGAGGATGTCTTTCCTCCATATATGTGGGGCATCCTCACTGGAGCAAGCTTTGCCTCTCTTACTCATGAATCCACCTGAAGGTCCTCACTTCCTACTGGGGCTTCTGTCCACACTATTTACACAGAACTCTCCAAATACTCTGCCTGGGGGCCTTGACCAAGAATTTCAGAGATCAACTTCCTTCCTTGTGCATTATGCCCACTGCCTTTCTATCACAGTCCATAAAAGTCACCTCCAAGTGACTTATCTAGCCTCAAAAGAGCCAGAAATTCTCAGTGGTATCTCCCTGTGCCTAATTAGCACTGCCAGACAGAGAAAACAGATCTGCTTGGCAACCATTCATCAAAACATCAGGTCCTGGACAGGCACGATGTTTCACACCTGTCATCCTAGCACTCTGGGAGACCAAGATGGTAGGAGCTCAGGAGTTCAAGACCAGCCTGAGCAAGACCAAGACCCTGTCTCTAAAAACAGACATTGTGGCAGGTGCCTGTAGTCCCAGCTACTCAGGAGGCTGAGGCAAGTGAATCACTTGAGCCCAAGAGTTTAAGGTTGCTGTGAGCTAAGCTGATGCAACTGCACTCTATCTGGGACTCAGAAAGAAACTCTATCTTTTAAAAAAACACAACCAAAACCAGCAGGTCCTATCTGTGACTTGGCTTAGGTGCTACACGTGCTGCCCTTTTCCCTACCCTCTCTGCTAACATGGGCCTGTGCAAGACCTCTCCAGGAGGCTAAAACTGGGCAGGGTCTCTAAATCCCTTCTGCTAATGGATTTCCCTAGCCAGACAAAGGTTATAGACAGTTAGGTGCTTCCAGGTACTTATGCCCTGTTTCTCGCACCCTGTATAAGATAGCCTGGGTCCCAGCCCATCCCTACTGGAGGATGTTGCCTTAAATGAAGTGTGAGCCATAGTGCTGGTTTGATTTCCCCTGTCTGATCTTAGAAGTCCTGGCTCCTATGGCCCAAATGCTACCCCCCCCCCAATATGTCACTTGTTGTTTTCACCCTCTGTGATTTTTTTCTCCTTCCCTCAGACACCAAATTTCCAGAGAGCCCTGTTCCAGCAAGTGGTTGGAGCCTGCAAACCCTGCAGTGATCCCAATCTATCTGTGGCTGAAAAAGGTATTGCTCCCCCTCTCCAGGTGGCCTTCCCCCACGTCTGTTCCCATCCTGAGTGTCTGACTCTTGTCCCTGAGTGGCAGCTGGCCCAGGCTGAGCCATATTCTTCAAGGCAGATCTGTCTATCTACCAAGAGTTCTGATCAATTTCTGTGTGCATTCTTTAATCCACATCTGACCTGATGCTAAGGTTTAGATCCTTTAATTGTTATCCCGCTCCACCCCCAGGGCCCACATTCAGAGAAGCCCCAGCTGCCATCTGCTCTGAGATCAGATTTATGGGAAGCCAGGCTACTATGTGTGAACTGTGCCAACTTTCCTAGGCTTTTCCCAACCAACCCCAGAATTTACCAGGCCCTGTGGCCCCTTTGGTCTCTCTCAACTTGGGCCCTCAGGAATCTCACCTTTGAGTTCAAGATATGGCCTGTGGCCAAACAAGCCCCAAAGGAATGGGAAGAACATGCCAGCTTCCCAGAGACAGGGTTCTCTAAGTAAAGTCCTGGGGGCTCTCAAAGGAGTCCAGTCTACCTGTAGCCACTTTAGCAGCTGCTGTGCGTCTTCTACATTGCAAGGCTATTAAACATACCAGGACTGAATGGGTCCTCCTTAGTACTGGGGATATTTAGATAGTGGCATTTTACTCCTCCAAACTTGAATAACCAGACTCAGACCTATATGACCCTGGCCAAAAGCCCCAGAGAAGGAAATCTGAGTTTATTTTAACATGAAGCAATATACCCAGAACTTAGCCCCATTTCAGCCCCTCTCTCCATAGGTTCTCCTCCCCTGTATTCCATCTGTTGGGATATAGGGGACTCTCACATCCTATCAACACAGCATGCTCCATCCCTAAAGCTGTCAGCATGCTGTCATTGTGCCTGCTCATCAACCACTGTCTTCCATCTCCACTGTTATTGTTCCTCCTGTATCATGAAAGACATACTTCAGTATCCTCTTTAATGAGAGCAAACACTGGGTCCACAACCTCAGTGCCTGGAGGGCATTGGCACTGGATGTTCAGCTATAAAGGGCCTAGAAATTCTGGCTGAAGATGCCTTCCTAGTCTCCAGGGTGCACATCTTGAAAACATAGCTTCCTGGACTTCTGAAGCCATAACCCAAGACAGAATGCACTTTTGGTCTGGAAGGCTAGAATACTTTTCACCTGAGATGCAGCATAATCTCAGAACTAGCCAGGAGCCTACTCAGGCTCAGAGCTGAAATGGATGCTGGAGGCCAGACCAGAACCTTAAGCCAACCAGACACAGAAGAGCTTCAGGCCTCAGGCCAGGCTGCAGCAAGGATCTGGACATGCCTACCCCAGTTAAGGGAAGGAGGGAGGGTTATCTCAGAACATAGGCTGATCCCAGGGCAAGTATGTTCATACCTCAAGGCTAGCACTTAGTGGACAACAAATTAGACACTTGCCTAGTGGCAACAGATAGACCAGAGTAATAACTCCGTAAGTCTCTATCTCCAGGGCAGGAACTGTACATACTTACCATCATTCTCTTGTTAGTCAGGGTCCAGAGTCCCATGAGGACTCTATCTCTCACTTGCAGGTATCTGTTCTCCAGGTCTTGACTATCAGACCAGGCAAGCTGGCCCTCAGGGCCATGGACTATGCACTGAGGCCCTCAGACCAGTGCTGGACAGTTAACACTAAGAAAGGTGACAGTGGGGATTGCTTCTCTTCTCCTAGGATAAATCATTCCATCTTAGCCTTCACAGTAGCCCCAGTGCACTTATGCTGCATGGCAAAGTTCCCCTGGCCTTATTGCTCACAGACATCAGCCTACAATATGAGCTTGATGGCTTCTGGTTCATATGGAGTCACTCAGGCAGGCACCCTTTTGTAAACCATTATAGCCACACTAGCTATAATGTTCTTATCCCCTAGCCTTTCTTCCCTACAGTTCCTCTGGGCCCTGGTGGATAAACATTTGCAGCCCCACAATTCGTTCAGGGGTTAGCAGTGCATCTTAGATCCTGGGCTCTTGCAAGCACTTTGATGAAGCTGCCAAGACCCATTTTCAACCTCCTTATTCCCTGATATTTAGTGGCTTATTATAGAGAAGGCAGTTTTCTTTGGGGGACAGAGGGCCTCAGCACTGAGGACCAAGAAGCTCATACTGGACTTTTGGAAGAGTATGGGTAAGGATGAGCCTGTTATTGGGGTGTCTCTGGCTCTCTGAAGAGGCCATCTGGTGGAATACACCTATGCTCATCAGATTCAGAATCCTTTCCTCACTCAGGCAACAGTTAAGTGCCTACACAAGGCCCAGCTGCTGCTGTGTCCCTCCTTCTTGCCACCAAGCCATCATCAGCAAGCTGTGAATCTGAATAATCCTCCTAAGAACTGAGATTGTTTACATAGTGCAGCCTTGTGTTTTTCTGTACACCCACAGCAGTTTCTGAGCAATGAGAAGATGGATGTCACCACCTTATCCCTTGACTACTGTGGGGCTCAGGCTCTCTTAGTCACATCCTCCTTGAAGGCCAGACTCCAGCTTCTCCCCCCTCTAGAGCCTCCAGGTCCCATAAGGCTCCCAAAATCCCCTACTTAGTACATTGACCTGGAAGAAACCAAACCCCAGCTATCTCAGGTTCAATAGCTTAGAACAAAGCCAGTGACTTTGAACTAAGCCGCTGCCTTAGAACAAAGCCAGTGGCTAGGCACCTGGATTGTGAGCTAGGTGCATCCCTGGTGCTAATAGCCCAAAAGAGAGAGTGGACTTGTCTGGCTCCATCAGAGAAAGGGTATATTTCTTCTCACGGTTACTTCTTCTCTATGTAGGAGGCCAACAGGATTCACATGTCTCTTGCTGTGACTCCCTTTGACCACAACGTCTAGCCGTATCTCCTCTCCTCTAATCTCTTACCCCTTCTGTGTCTGAGGGTCCAGTATTCTAGCACTGGACTTCTTCCTTAGCATAGAAGGGCATACTCTGTTCTGAGCCCACTCTACCCTACATTCATGGAATATGGGTCTCAGGAACTGGGCTTCCCTAGATGGCCAAAAGTATCCATGGGCTCCACTGCCGTGTCTCTCCCTCCTCTTGGGAAGCAGTGGGTCTAGCTAGACCTAGGCTGCAATTCTTGAGCTTTATACTTTCTTCCAGAAAGTGCACTGAATGCCTGTCCCTGCCTAGAATAGCCTCCTGAGTATCCCAAATTCAGCCAGTAGGCATAGGAGGAAGAAGGGGCAAAGTGAACATTACCAAAAGCTCTTTGTGGAGCCAATTCTTGTGGAGTTCCTGCTTACTCCCTGGCCATGCACCCAGCTCTGGAACTTATCATTCCCTACTTTTCCCACTGAGCCTGGGCAGTAGGAGAGTCCTGACTCTTTGCCTAAGGAGCTCTATGGCACACTCTCTCTGTGTTTTCTTGGTCTCATCAGCCTATTCTATTCTCCTGTTTTTCTTCTCCTCCTGGCAAATTCCAGAGGCTGCAGATGTTTACTCTTTGCTGCACTTTCCTCAGCTGTCTCATCCTGAATAATCTAAGACATCAGCTCACTCTGTTGCCATCCTCTTAAGTAGTTTCCATCCCTGGCGACTCACCCCTGTAGGCCACAGTGCCTTGCTTGGCTAGTGTTTTTAGTTCCAGGGGCTGGCATTCCACTCGCGTGTACTAGATACATAGTGCACACCTGAAGAATACAAAGGCTGCAGAATGGGCTTCTCCCAGAGGGTGGCTCAAGCAGTAATCTCCCTTCATGCCATCTGTTTCCACCCTCAGTGGTGCCAGCAGCCCCCAGCAGCTGGAGCCTGGATAGCGGAGCCCAAGAGGCCCAGTCCCTCCTGCCTGCCCACATCCTGATCCCCCCAGTGCCTCCCCGAAGCCTGCTGCATGGTAAGAAGATCTCTAGCGGGTCCCCAAAATAGTCCTTGGTCTCAGACTTTGCTCAAGGATCAGGGTAACAACCATCCAGGCTAAGAAGATAGGCTATTCTCTGGGATAACTCAGCCAAGGACAAACATCCCATGACAGGAAGGATCCTGCTGGGCTTTGGGGTCAGTGAGGTTTCTGAGTACAACAGATTAGTTCAGGAAGATCATTCCAAGCATGGAGGCTGAAGACAACAGAATTGATTGTACAAGGCACACTGGTCACCAGCCTGTCATCGCCTAGCAGTGGTCCGGAACTGCCACTGCCTGGAGCCTCTTGTTCCACCGTCTCTGATGCACTCAACTTTCCTGACTTCTATGTGGAATAGGTTTCTTTTAACCCAGCAGACTTCTCCTTATGTTGGAGAAGGCCAACAAAGGAGAAGTTTTTCTATAGCCCTCAATGCTGAGGGGTACCTAGGGAGCTCTTCCCATGCCTGCCCCATTGGTGTGGCAAAATGGTGCTCATATGCAGCCTGAGCAGGGCCCTCCACTAAGGCTCTGGTTCTGTTTCTTTTGCAGGTCATTACTCATTACACTTTGACGCCTTCCACCACCCTTTGGGTGATACTCCCCCAGCCCTCCCTGCCCGGACCCTACGCAAGGTAATGTACTGAGGAGGCAGCCCTGCCAGGCTGTGAGATGAGTCATCTCATCTGCTCTATAATCACCTAGGGGTCCACAAGAGGAACCTCAGCCCTTCACTACTTCTCTTTCCCCAGCTTGGTAGAAGCTGAGGTTGGCCAGAGCCACACTTGAGTTGCAGGTGACTAAAGTATCTTGCAGCAAATGACATGGAGGCAGGGAGGTGAGAGGATCCTAGAAAAAGCAAGACACTATGCCAAGGGTATGTAGGGAGTGAGTGCTGAAAAACCACAGCTCTCTGCCAACACCACAGGGGATCGATACACCATAGCTCAATAGCTAAATAAATGTTCCTGTGGTGGACTGTAGAACATTTTAAACTAGAATTCAGTAAAAGCAAGAAGTGTCAGACACCAGAGCATTATGAAAAACTAATGAAAGTAAAACTTAAATCCTGCCTGTTAATTTTTCTGCAAATTGGAAAGACTGAGTCTACCACAGATTTTTGCAGCAGAATAACTCTGAGCCTTGGCCCACCTCAGCTGAGGGTTTTTTCCTGCCCCCAACCCCCACCCCATCTAGCCTAATAACTCAGCCCTTTGTCAGTATCCCAGAGCCACAGCAGCCTGGGACCTGGCCCTAGGGGGTACCAATGCCCAGCAGCCAAGACAAGGCCATTTTTGGCCACAGAAATGCAGATGATTCTGGAATTCTACTGGCTTGCTTGAGGTTTGTGGGGAGGAACTGGAAGCTTGTTGCTGAAGAAACAAGAAACATGCTTTTGATGAGGGTTATTTTAAAGTTCATTCATAAGCAGGTCCTTGGTCTTCTGTTGGTGGCAGGCCAGTGAGCCTGCCTAGAGAGAGGGATTCTAACATGCCCAACCTTTCCTTCGCAGTCACCTCTCCACCCTATCCCAGCCTCCCCCACAAGCCCCCAGTCAGGCCTGGATGGCAGTAACTCTACACTGTCCGGCAGTGCCAGCAGCGGTGTGTCTTCCTTGAGTGAAAGTAACTTTGGGCACTCTTCAGAGGCCCCACCTCGCACTGACACCATGGACTCCATGCCAAGCCAGACCTGGAATGCTGACGAAGATCTTGAGCCACCCTACCTCCCTGTACACTACAGCCTCTCTGAATCTGCTGTCCTGGATTCCATCAAGACCCAGCCATGCAGAAGCCACTCAGCCCCGGGATGTGTCATCCCTCAGGACCCCATGGACCCGCCTGCGCTGCCACCCAAGCCCTACCATCCCCGCCTGCCAGCCCTGGAGCATGATGAGGGGGTGCTTCTTCGGGAAGAGATGGAGAGGCCTCGGGGCCTACACCGTAAGCCCTCACTGCCTCCTGGGAGCACCAAGGAGGAACAGGCTCGCATGGCCTGGGAGCACAGCCGAGGGGAACAGTGAAGGGCAGGGAGGCAGCTGGATGCCACCCTCAGCAAGCAGCTTGCCCAGCCACTCCAGGTCTGAAAAGCAAGTCCTCCCAGGGAGCTAGAGAGGCTTGGCACTCAGGAGAGAACCACCCTATGTCTCTGTTCTACTGCCGTGAACTCATGTGTTGCCATGTATAGAGGCTGCAGCAGCATGAAGGTTGTGGCTTCTCTTTTATTTCATTTTTTACTTTCCCATTTTTATGGGTTTTCCTTTTTTTCCTTTACGCAGTAGATGCTTTCTTCCTCCTGCAGTTCCAGACCATGTGGAGCTATATGGAGATATTGCACAGACAGAATGACTTTGCAACATTGCAGGGCCCAGGAACAGAAGCCCAGGTCCTCCCTCCAGGAAAGAGATGCACAGAATGGATATTGCACTAGGGACCTCTTCCTTTGCTGTATGAACAGAAAAGTTCATGGTTGCATTCAGGGATTGCAAGGACCACATGGACTACATGTCACAGATGGACAAAGGGGCTACAAGATGTTTTGCACAAATGCCTGCCCACTCTTCCATCCAGGAGTGTGCACCTGAGGGGTTGGTCAGGCCAACCTGCTGGGTGAGGTGTGTGACAGGCCTAAGTGCATGCCCAGGGCACACTTCCAGGCTTCTATGAGCCAGCTATCTCCTACTCCACTTTGGAATTTTCTCTGTCATTCCGGTATCTGACCATTTATTTCCCTCTACTCTTGGTACATCTCTTGCCTCACAGGAACCTCCATGGGAAATGGATATGCAAGGGTTATCTCCTACCCTCTGGGGCTTGAGTAGAGGTATAGAGCCAGAGGAGTTACCCTAGTCACTTTCCTCCTATGGGGAGCTGAGCCCCTTCCGTGTGGTAGAGAACCTGGTTTTATAATGAGGCTAAGGTGTGGCAGGGGCTGGAAATCCTCTACACCAGTGGTTCTCAACCTTCCTAATGCCGCAGCCCTTTAATACAGTTCCTGGGGTTGCGACCCACAGGTTGAGAATCACTGCTCTATGCTTTCAAAAGCATACAGGCCTATCATCAGCTCCCTATTCAGGGATTTTCAGCACTACCTCTGAACCATGAGGTTGGCTGCCCCACCAGGCTTCCAGGCCCTGAGGACATGTGGTCAGGTTCAGCAGGCTCCTATGTATAAAGGGTAGGAGGGAGCTTCTCCTTTTGGAAACAGCCATGAGGTGCAGGTAGAATTGTTATCTCTCAACTGGCCAAGTACAGTGCACCCCCGCCCCAGCCCCATGGGGACCACCACTCAGGGTTTGGGGTGGGCAGGAGGGAGTTTCTCCAGCCTCCCCAGTCTGTTGGGCAGAGCGCAGTATTGTCTTTACAGGAAACTCTTTCAGGTCAGGGCACTAATTTTCCTCTATTATTTGGGGGGCAGGGTAGGGGGCATAGTAGTATTTTACCAGGGTGCTTCTAAGTTACTTAAAAAAAAAAACTGTCTACAAAATTTTCTTTTATTTGCTTGAGTTCACATCAGTCATAATCATGACTTTGATGGTCACAAGGCTGCCTTCTCCTTGTTAAGCAGGCATGTTGCACCCCACTTCCTCTTCTGACCTCCATGGTCAGGCCCTGGGCCCAAGCCCTTCATCCCTTCTTCATAGCCCCTCTTTCCAAACAGAAAAGGTCATGGTCAGGGTGTTTTTTCCCTTGTAAACAAATAATTTGTTTAAAAGAAGTGCCAGCAAGTAACCTATTAGGAAAGATAGAGGGCTGAATTACCTTTAGGGTTTATCATTAGTGTGGGTCTTTTCTGATACCATCAGGATCACTCCAGGCAAAGTGGAGCAGAGGATATGGGTAAATCACAAAAGCCCCCACCTTGAAGGGCAGCCCTGCTTCTGAGCCTAAACACACTTGCAAGCTTTAGTCTTTGGACCTGGTCTTTACAGATGCTAGGGTTGGGGGCTAGCTTCAGATTTGATTCTTAGAGGGCACCTTTAAATTCTGAAGCACTTCTGAACCTCAATCCCTGGTCAAGGCAGTCATCACAGGAGAACAGCTACCTTCTCCACTTGATGGCACAGAAGATGGGGAGAGGAGAGGTGCGGGGGTACATGTGGCCTTGCTTTATGCAAGGAGAAACAGTTTGTGTTTTCCCTCTCCATTTTCCCTAATTGGACGAAAAGAACACATTCTGAATCCCTTTTGTTAGAGAGTCAGTCTGAGGGGAAATGGGAAAGCAGAGATGAGAATCCTTTGAAAAGATTGTAAAATACTGATTTTCATTCTTTCAAGCTTACTTGTAAATATCTGTTTGAATGCTGTGTATTTATACAGGAATTTGAGCAAAAAGAAATGTATAGAGTGTGATGTCCCACTGGTATTCAGCCCTATAAATGTGTTTTTAACTTCTGGCATTCTGTGCTTATTTAAAACAAAAAACTTCTAACCATTTCTTTTGTGTATTCATGTTTAAAGAAAAAGTGATTTAAAAATGATCTTACCTGTACCAGAAAAGCAAAGTTAAAAAAAAAAAATTTGTACCAATGTCCCAACAGGTATTTTACTGTATATATTGTGGTAGCATGTTCGAAATCCAAGAAGTAATGTGAATTTTAGATGTAAATATCTGCCCCCTGACCTTTTCCCCCCTCCTTGACTGCTGTGATGTGAATTAAAGATGAATACCTGATACTGACCCACTGAATTCACTGAATGAGAGCAGCAGATGCGCCCCTCTCCAAGGCCTGTCGCCGGGCTCCAAGCCCTCTTAGCCCCATAGACATGTCCTTTCAGTACTGAGCAGAGCCAGTCCTTCCCGGTGAGGGCAGGCAGCCAAGCTTTGCACTTAAAAGGGGGGTACACCAAAAGGAAACGTCCTCCAGTGCCTATTTGCTGACCCACGCCCTTCGGCAGCCAAGGACGCTTGGGGCTCCGGTAGAAAGGAATGAGCGGACCCGCCACCTCGGCCACGCTTCCAGAGCTGGTGAGGAAGTGGGGAGCTCTTCCACGAGTGGGGGACAAACCTCCCGAGCTCCCCTATCTCCCCACTCTAAAGCAATCTCAAAGCTGCTGTAGCCCTGGTTGGGGCGCTTCCTCAGAGATCTAGGATGGCAGCCCGGCCTGGTCGGCCTTGATTCCGTCCTCTGGCAGGTCTTGAGGCCGGGGAGTCTGTCCACCCAGCAGGTCTCCTGTCAACCCATTAAAGGCGGGTTCTGGTCAGCCAAAAGGCAAGCAGGTGAGCTCCTGAGCCCCAGAAGATGTTTCCCAAAGGGAACGACTACGTGGTTGTTGGATAAAAGTAAAGAAACATCTGCTGAACCCTGCCTGGAGCAGCCCGCCCTCCCTACCTATCCTGTTGGGTCTCCACTGACCCCAAAACTCCAGACCTGTGCCACGAGTGGGGGGGGCCTAAGCGAGATGATCTTCAGGGTTTTCGGGGCGGGGGTGGGACCCAGGGCAGAGAGCACGCAGGACAACGCAGTAGATGAGGGGCAACAGCCAAACCCTTCTTCAGCCTGTGGTACACAACCTCAATTATCGCGGCCACTCGGACCAAAGATGACGGCCCTCACAGCTTCCGTTGCAGCCCTGGCCGCTTCCTGCGGCCGGCCAGGGTTCAATCAGCGGCCGACAACTGTCTGGGACTGAGGCGGCACCAACCAATGGGGAAGGGCGGCGTGGAGCCGCCCGTCTGGGTTCTGAGGCGCGTGGACCAATAGGAACACGGCGTGTGGGAGGGCCCGGGAGTCTTCCTCCAATGGGGAGCTACGGCGCGCGGCCGGGACCTGGAAGCGGTGCAGCGCGGCGGGTGCGGTTCAGTCGGTAGGCGGCAGCGGCTGCAGAGGAGGATGTGGGTCACGCACGGGCTGGCGGTGGCGCTGGCTCTGAGCGTGCTGCCGGACAGCCGGGCGCTGCGGCCGGGTGACTGCGAAGGTGCGCGGGGGCCGGGGCCCGCGCCAAAACCCAACAAAACCACTGGACGGCCAGGGTCCGGGCGGGGGTGGCGGAGGTGGCTGGTCCCAGCCGAGCCAGCTGGAGGAAGGGCAGACGCCAGGCCTAGAAAACATCGGTCCCGCAAGAAAAAGTTGAGATTAGATTGTTCAGAAATTTTGGCCCGAAAATCACATCACGCCAAATGTTTTGCCCCTTCCTACCGCTGTCCAGGGGCTCCTAGGAACGTCCCTGTCCCGGGTCAGGGACCTGAGGGCTGGCCACGAGTACCGTAGTACGTCCGTTGGGATCGCGAAGCTGCCCCTCGGGGTTCGGTGTCGTATTTGGATATGAGAAATAGCAGTAGATTGTTTTTCTTTTCATTCTCCAGTCTGTCCGTTTATGAGGTCGCTGTGAGTTGCGTCTCAAGGACACATGTTCAGTTTAGGCTTAAACTTGATGGAAGAAGCAGGGGGAAGTTGTTACGAGTCATCGGAGTGATGCTCTTTCCTCTTATACTCTGGGTGCACCAAAGGACCCCACCAACCTTCAACTGGTTTCTGTACAGCTGAGAAAAACCAGTGATAGAGAGAGAAAAAGAAAAAAAACCTCACATTTAATGATTCATCTACGTGTCCCCTGATAAATTGGGGACAAAGTTCCTCCCTGGTAGGTTAAGGGGACAATCTGGCAATTGCTGAGCATCCTTCCCTCTCTTTTCCAGTTTGTATTTCCTATCTGGGAAGATTTTACCAGGACCTCAAAGACAGAGATGTTACATTCTCACCAGCCACTATTGAAAAAGAACTTACAAAGTTCTGCCGTGAAGCAAGAGGCAAAGAGAATCGGTTGGTGAGTAGTGACCCTCCCCAGCTAACTGTGGCTCATGTGTAACCCTCCACTTTCATGGCCCTCTTGATAAAAGGCCCTGCCCACCTCTCTATTCAGGAGACTGGCTGCTCTGTCTATAAATTAATATGAGATTGAAGTGCTTTCATGTCCTTCCTCAAGTGGGCATGTATTCTGCAGTTGTGATTTTTAAATCCTGTTTTTGTTTATTAAGTATTTATTAAGAACCTACTGTGTGTTAGCCAGTAGGAATACCTGGAGAAAAAGATGACAATCAGGCAAACAAATAATGCAATGATGTGTGTCATGAAGGAAATAGACCAGAATCATTGGTGGAGAGGGAGGATGCTGATTTATAGTGACTGATCAAGAAATAACTCTCTGAGGAAGGGTTATCATCGAAGTGGGAGTAAGAACATTCCAGGGAGACACCATCCAGTGTGAGTGCCCTGAGGCCAGAAAGAGTGTGAGGACATGAGGTAACAAGGTTCTCACAGAGTAGGCCAGAGCCAAATTGAGAACAAGAGCCCTAATGAAGCAATAGCTTTTCTAGCTCTAATTTCCCTGGCAGTCTCTGGTTTGTCTATTAAAGGTTAGGGCCCTGGTGACTCTTAAGCTCATTTGGTGGCTGTCAGCTCTGTGACTGAGAAAGTGTTAAAAGCCCAGGTTGACACTGACTTTTAATCTGTCAATACAGGCAGGGCACCAAAAAAATGAGGTCCTGGCAGAGAGACAACATGTTTGGGGATGACAATATGTTTTGGAGGAAATGGCTCTCAAGTGGCACCCCCTAAAGGCTGTTGCCCTTTCTTGCTACAGTGCTACTATATTGGGGCCACAGACGATGCAGCCACCAAGATCATCAATGAGGTGTCGAAGCCCCTGGCCCACCACATCCCTGTGGAGAAGATCTGTGAGAAGCTTAAGAAGAAGGACAGCCAGATCTGTGAGCTAAAATATGGTGAGTGTGGCCTTCTTGAACAAATGCTATGCATATCTTGTGGCCTCTGTGTGCACCTTCTGAGTTTACTTTCTGGCTGGGAAAGGAAGGTGATAAACTATAGCCACAAATGGATTGTATCATGTGATAAATGGTACTAAATGCTGGGGAGATCTGGCATAGAAGTGGGTTGACTTCAGAATAGGGCTTGTTGAGGAGGTAACATTTCAGTAAACTTTGAAGGAGGTGAGGATTAGCCAAGAGGCCAGCTAATAGAAGAACATTCTAGGCAGAGGATATAGGCAGTGTAAAGTTAGCCAGTGGCATGATTAGGCAAATGGAGAGGTCACATGGGACTTTGCAGGTTGGTGAGGACTTTGGCTTTTAGTTTAAGTGAAATTAGGAGCATTGGCAGTTTTTGAGTAGAGAAGGGATTTGATCTGACTTGGGTTTAGCAGGCTTGTCCTAACTGCAAGCTCTGAGGGCCCAGTGATCTTTTATTATTCTGAAAAGAAGCTCTGTGTCCAGATAGGCTAGCCCAAGAGTTATAGGAGCCATCATGTCGCACTTGCTAATAGTCTTGTTGCACATAGTTCCAGTCTTCAGAAAGAGGGCCTCTTCTATAAAATTATAAATGGTATCTTTTTTGAGTTTGTGTGGCATCTTTTTTTTCTGATGATAAGAATATTTAAGGGCCTATGTTTGTCCATGTGTATAGAGACTGCCTGGTCTTCTCAGAGTGATCCTGGTACAGGTGGTTCCAGGTCACTCTGGTTACAAGTGATCACAGAAAGTAAGCTCCTAAATCGGGCCTGACACAGGCCTGTTTGGGAAATGGAGACTAGAAGATCTGCTCTGTCACCAGCCTGGAGCTGCCATTTTACAGTGACTCTCTAAGAGGCACGTGGGAGTGAGAGCTACCTTCCTCCTATAAGGACAGCGTGGCCTCTGTTCCTGTCTTTGTCCATACTGCATGTCTGTAGTGAGCACTGACAGCATGAGGCCAGCCTTCCTGGTGAAGGGGCCAATTCCCCCCTTAGGGGCAATGGGCCCTAACACACCTATGTGGGAAATCTCTCCTATAGTCATTAGGGCTGGTTGTTTCAAGGGATGGTTTTGCCATGTAAGGGGTGAAATGTCTTTAGCCACCCAGCCAGTTACTCTCCCTGTTCTCTCTCCAGATAAGCAGATTGACCTGAGCACGGTGGACTTGAAGAAGCTTCGAGTTAAAGAGCTGAAGAAGATCTTGGATGATTGGGGGGAGACATGCAAAGGCTGCGCAGAAAAGTCTGACTACATCCGGAAGATCAATGAACTGATGCCTAAATATGCCCCCAAGGCAGCCAGTGCACGGACTGATTTGTAGTCTGCTTAATTCCTGTTGCACCTGAAGGGAAAAAACAGTTCAGCTGTCTCTTCCCAAAACAGCCTTTTTGTAATTTATTTTTTAAGTGGGCTTCTGACAATACTGTATCAGATGTGAAGCCTGGAGCTTTCCTGATGATGTTGGTTCTACAGTGCCTCTGTGAGGGGATTCACTTCCTTCTGTTGCTGGTTTACTCCAGGACTTCAAAAGTGTATCTGGGTTTTTTTTTTTATTAAAGAAAAAAAAATTTCTAGCTGTCCTTGGAGAATTAGGTGAATACTGAAATAGGGTTTTTACCCCATGAGGATCCTACCAGTTTATGCTTTCCCATTTGCAAAGAGTTTGGGGGTATATTACCATTTGTCCCTCAAAACACCAGTGCTAAAACTACCAGGGCACAATACAGGGGCTGATGCCCACTGATGTGTGTGGGTGTGCAGGACTGGAGGATAGCAGGCACCTGAGCAACCTGGAGAGGAGGCCCAGCTTGACACCCTGCCCCTCGATACAGTGTCTGTCTCCATGCAAGAGGGGACTGGAGGCCTCACAGCTTCTAAGTACACAGAAGATAAAGTTTGGGGTACATAAAAACGGCCTTACACTGGGGCTCACTGCAAGCAGGACTATGGGGTATGTGGAGTATGGTTTTCCACAAGGCTTCTTTTACCATGCATGTTATGTACTGACATTTCTAAAGATGTTCTTCGCCTGATCACCATCTTGCTCTTCTGAGCTCATGGTCTATTATCTGTCCCAAGCCTCTGATGCCTGATTGGATTTTTGCAAGATTGGCAGGAGTCAAGTTATAGTAAGAGGTAGCAGGAAGCTGCCTTTTGCCTTTGCTTGCCCTAGATTACAGTTGAGGTCCTGAGTGCTTTTCTGGAGTCTCATTTTTTTGCTGCTATCTGGTGTTTAAGAAACTGAAAGGTCTGTATCAGCTGTGGCTCCATGGAGACACCTGCTCCTTGGGCCTGCAGAGATCACCTGAAAGGAAAAACTTAAGAACCAGTGCTTGGCAAGGAACTGTTCTGACCTCAGATTACTTCATTTGTGTCAGTTGTAAATTCAGTTTGTCTGTAAGGGCCCTTACTGGGCTCCATGAAGACGACTGCTCTTTCTTCCAATACCCTTCCCCTAGCAGCTGCCTGAGCTGCCCCCGAAGTTACTTTCTAGTTGTGGGAAGAGGGAAGGGCTGAGTGTACTATTCTCAGTCTCATAGTTTGTGTGCCTGAAGTTGGGTCAGGTTTTGCAATGGCTCCAGCAACTGTCCTTAGGAGACTGAAAGCTTCCCCAATGGGCTTGGGCACCTGGGCACCTTTGCCTTCACCCTTCCTACGGAGAAAAGGTTCTCCCCCTGGAGGTGAACACAAGAAGGCACTGGCTAGTGAGAGGTCAGGGTAGCAATCTGTTAACTGCTGGCACTATCTTCGCCCTTGGCTCTCACGGTCCTGCCCTTCCAGCTTGCCATGTGCCTGGATGCGGTACTAAGGAGCCTATTCAGACTCCATTAACTACAGGTTCTCTCCAGTTTCTGTGTCTGGACTCAGCCACATCTCACCTGCATGCATATGGTCTTTACGAGGACTGCTGTAGATGACCCCTAATGTTGAGGATGCTCAGGATATGGGCCCGAGGTCTCAGACTCGGCCTTAGAGATCAGATCAGCGTGAATTAGTCCTTAGGACTGTCAACCCCGCCTCCAGACAGGAGATGCAGGAGTTGAGGTCAGGGGAATTGCTCACGCCTACTCCTGGAATGGAAGGATACCATATAAAGAGACCGCTGAGTCTAGGTCCGAGACCTCGGTGTCCACCGAGGCTGCTACTACTGCTCCGATCAGCGTGGGCCCCGGCGCCTAGTGGAAGAGGTAGCTGGATCTAGAGCGGTAAAGTAACCCGGGAAGCACAGAGCCAGGTCCACCAGCTCCGCTCGCTGGAGCCGGCGGCGACGTGAGACACCCCTACTCTCAAAAGCTCTCATCGCTCCCCGTAGCCTCGGAGTCTTGGCCCGCACGGTGGCGCCAGAGTACTCAGCCCAGCGCTCACCCTCTGGCCATAGGGTCAGGGGGCACCGAGCGACGCAGTCCAATGACGCAACCACGACGCAGCTATCGCCCCAGGTGGCACGGTCACGTGACACGGCCGGCGCAGTCTGATAACGCAACACCCAGTCCCTCGGCGCCGCTCCCGCCCCGCCCCTTCGCCACCGCCGTGCGGAGTCCTTTTGTCCAAGATGGCGGCGCCGGGGGCGCTGCCTCCTCGGCCGCCGCCGCCGCCGCTGTGAGGAGTCTGCGGGCCGCCCGCCCGCCGCGCCAGCGCCATGAAGAGACAGAGCGAGCGAGACTCGAGCCCGAGCGGGCGCGGCTCGTCATCGTCGGCCAAGCGGCCGCGGGAGCGCGAACGGGAGGCAGAGGCGGGCGGGCGGCGGGCGACACACAAGGCCTCCGGCGGCGCCAAACACCCGGTTCCAGCGCGAGCCCGAGACAAACCCCGCGGTAGCGGGGGTGGTGGGGGTGGGCATCGCGATGGCCGCGGCGCTGGGGACGCGAATCACCGTGCGAGCAGCGGCCGCTCCTTAGGCGCCGGCGGCGGAGGACGCGGTGGCAAGGCCTCAGGAGACCCGGGTGCCTCGGGCGCATCGCCCCGTGCGTCTCCACTGCCGCCGCCTCCGCCACCGCCTGGGGCCGAGCCCGCGGGTCCCGGCTCATCGACGACCGCACCCGAATACAAGACTCTACTAATCAGCAGCCTGAGCCCCGCGCTGCCTGCCGAACACCTCGAGGACCGGCTTTTCCACCAGTTTAAGCGCTTCGGCGAGATCAGCCTTCGCCTATCTCATACACCTGAGCTGGGCCGTGTGGCCTACGTGAACTTTCGGCACCCACAGGACGCCCGCGAGGCCCGCCAGCACGCCCTGGCCCGCCAGCTGCTGCTCTATGACCGCCCACTTAAGGTAGAGCCCGTGTACTTGCGCGGCGGCGGGAGCAGTCGGCGAAGCAGCAGCAGCAGTGCTGCTGCCTCCACGCCACCCCCAGGACCGCCCGCACCCGCCGACCCGCTGGGCTACCTGCCGCTGCATGGAGGCTACCAGTATAAGCAGCGTTCGCTGTCCCCGGTAGCTGCCCCGCCCCTGCGGGAGCCCCGCGCCCGCCACGCTGCTGCCTTCGCCCTGGATGCCGCTGCTGCAGCCGCTGTGGGACTATCCCGGGAGCGCGCCCTGGACTACTATGGTCTGTACGACGACCGTGGCCGCCCTTACAGCTACCCAACTGTGTGCGAGGAGGACCTCATGCCTGAGGATGACCAGCGGGCCACACGGAACCTCTTCATTGGAAACCTGGACCACAGTGTATCTGAGGTGGAGCTGAGACGGGCCTTCGAGAAATACGGCATCATTGAGGAGGTGGTCATCAAGAGGCCTGCCCGTGGCCAAGGCGGTGCTTATGCCTTCCTCAAGTTCCAGAACTTGGACATGGCCCATAGGGCTAAGGTGGCCATGTCAGGGCGAGTGATTGGCCGCAACCCCATTAAGATAGGTTATGGCAAGGCCAATCCCACCACACGCCTCTGGGTGGGTGGCTTGGGACCTAACACCTCACTGGCCGCTCTGGCCCGGGAGTTTGACCGCTTTGGGAGCATTCGGACCATTGATCACGTCAAAGGAGATAGCTTTGCCTATATCCAGTATGAGAGCCTGGACGCAGCCCAGGCTGCCTGTGCTAAAATGAGGGGCTTTCCTTTGGGTGGTCCAGACCGCAGGCTCCGTGTGGATTTTGCCAAAGCAGAGGAGACTCGGTATCCCCAACAGTACCAGCCCTCACCCCTTCCTGTGCATTATGAGCTTCTCACAGATGGATATACTCGGCACCGAAACCTGGATGCCGACCTGGTGCGGGATAGGACTCCCCCGCACCTCCTGTACTCAGACCGAGACCGGACCTTTTTGGAAGGGGACTGGACCAGCCCCAGTAAAAGCTCCGACCGCCGAAACAGCCTGGAAGGCTACAGCCGCTCAGTGCGCAGCCGGAGTGGTGAGCGCTGGGGGGCTGATGGGGACCGTGGCATGCCCAAGCCCTGGGAAGAGAGGCGGAAGCGGAGGAGCCTTTCCAGTGACCGTGGGAGGACAACTCACTCCCCTTACGAGGAACGGAGCAGGACCAAGGGTGGTGGGCAGCAGTCAGAGCGAGGTTCAGACCGTACCCCTGAGCGCAGCCGCAAAGAGAACCACTCCAGTGAAGGGACAAAGGAGTCAAGCAGCAATTCCCTCAGCAACAGCAGACATGGGGCTGAGGAGCGCAGCCACCACCACCACCACCACGATGCTCCAGATTCTTCCCATGGAAAGAAGACAAGAGATAGCGAGCGCAATCATCGGACAACTGAGGCTGAATCCAAGCCTCTGGAAGAGCCAAAACACGAGACCAAAAAGCTAAAAAGTCTTTCAGAGTATGCTCAGACACTACAGCTGGGTTGGAATGGGCTTCTAGTGTTGAAAAACAGCTGCTTCCCAACATCTATGCACATCCTAGAGGGGGACCAAGGGGTTATCAGCGGTCTCCTCAAAGACCACACTTCTGGGAGCAAGCTGACCCAGCTGAAGATCGCCCAGCGCCTTCGACTGGACCAACCCAAGCTGGATGAAGTCACACGACGCATCAAACAGGGGAGCCCCAATGGCTACGCAGTCCTCCTAGCCACCCAGGCAACCCCCGGTGGGCCTGGCACTGAGGGGACACCCACAGTGGAGCCAGGCCTGCAGAGGCGGCTTCTCAGGAACCTGGTCTCCTACTTGAAACAGAAGCAGGCCGCAGGGGTGATCAGCCTGCCAGTGGGTGGGTCTAAGGGCAGAGACAGCACAGGCATGCTCTATGCCTTCCCACCCTGTGACTTTTCACAGCAGTACCTCCAGTCAGCACTAAGAACATTGGGCAAGCTAGAAGAAGAACACATGGTGATAGTCATAGTCAGAGATACTGCCTAGCCCAAACTGTCTTTTCCAGCTCTATGTTTGTGTCACAAAAGCAGTTATTTTAAAATCTGATCCCCTCTCTACCCTACCCCTTGGTTTAAATTCTCTGCTGGGTTATTTTGGTTTATTTGGTGGGGATCAAAGTCCTGTCCACCACTAAAAACTAAGTTCTTAGATTTGGGGGGAATTTTTTTTTTACAATGATGATAAGGGACTCCTGTTAGTTGATTTCTAGTGTACAAGATACTGTCTGCCGTGTTCTGTATTTTTTTAATTTTTTGACTAACTGTATGGCAAGTTGTCAGTAAAGCCTTTGTCAGAGGACCATTTTTTAATCCTGTTCAGAGTCCTGGTTTAATCAAGTTACAAATGGAAGACTTTTCCCTAGTGCATGCACATAAATGGCCTATATCTTTCCAGCACCACCATGTCCAAAAATCCTGCATTAGTGGCTCTCAGCCTGACCTTTCAGCACTTCAGGTTGTCAAGTCATTTTTAATCTTGGTTGATGACTAGCAGACTTCAATTTGGGTTCTGAACCCTGCCACGCCAGCCTGAGTAGAGTCCATGCAAAGTAAGAGGGTGAGTCAGAGGTCTGTGGCCAACAACCCCAAACAATGTGTGTCCATTAGTTTGAGTTGTGGCTGTTGGACAAAGTACCTGATCTCAAAATGTATTTGACAGCAGGTAGTCTTAGACAAGGAGGAGGAACAGTGCAATACAAAGGGGTCTTGGTGCTGCTGCTCTATCCAGACCCCCTCTTTAACCCAGGGTCTCTAATAATGGGGACAGAGCTGCCTCAGATTCCTACTGGTCCAGGAGGCTAAATAATGGAATGGATAGTTGAAGATTTTGGCTGACGTGTAAAGGGCAAGCTTATGCCCAGTCATACCTAAAGCTTTGAGGACACTGAATCCCTGAAGTACTTTACAAAGTACAGAAGGTTAACAGAAGATGTTCTTAATAACTGACTAGTTTCCCAAGTGCAAGGTCAGAACAGGTGCCTAGCTAGACCTTGTCCTGATAGTAAAAGGTGGTGACCACTGGGAAATAGGTTTCTCTTGAGAGGGAATGTACTGGGGAATACTGGAGCTTGAAGCCACTCAAGCAAAGTTGGGGAGGGAAAGGATGTGGTAGCATCCTCTAGCTGGGAGGGAAAGGTGGCCTGATGGAATAGTCCTAAAAGTCTACCTTCCTGGAGCACCTATTTGTCATTGCAGATAGAATATAGTATAAATACCATGCCTCAGAATGTGCGGCAGCTTGGATATTCCAAAAGGGATCACTGTCAGGGCTGAGAAGACTGAAATCTAAGAGAAATGAGCTCCCAAATGACTAGGAATTCCAGGTTCTGCTGGCCAGGCCATCTCTTCAGGTCTGGTCTGCTACCCCAGCTGGCACAAAGCAACACAGGCGAGAGCTATGAGAGAGGTTTTGTGGAGGCTGGGGTTCAGTGCAGACTGGAGAGTACAAGCCAGCCCATGAGGACACTGAAAGAGCTGTTAAGAGACCTCAGAGACTTGGGATGAAAGGGAAGGTGCCTAGGGAAGTATCACTCACTGCACTTCAGGTGGTGCTCATTGAGAGACCAAGCATGTTAATAACAAAACAGTAACCTGCTCGGTGCCTGTGGCTCAAGCGATTGAGGTGCCAGCCACATACACCTAAGCTGGCAGGTTTGAACACAGCCTGGGCCCGCCAAACAATGATGGCTGCAACCAAAAAATAGCCAGGCGTCATGGTGGGTGCCTGTAGTCCCAGCTATTTGGGAGGCAGAGGCAGGAGACTCACTTGAGCCCAGGAGTTGGAAGTTGCTGTGAGCTGTGATGCCATAGCACTCTACCCAGGGCGACAGCTTGAGGCTCTGTCTCAAAAAAAAAAAAAAAAACAGTAACTCAAGTAACCATTTAACATATTTATTTGCCTATTTTCACTTGAGCTGTGGCCACAGCTGCCAGGAAATTAAGCAAGTCAGTGTGGGACATAGCAGGACACACCTCTGTACCATTCCAGGGTAGCTGATACTGCCAGAAACAGGAGTGGGCCTTGTCTTGTTGAAGGCACGTGGGTGAAGAAGACACTTCAGCCTTTGCCCTGTCCACCCCTCTTCAGGGCAGGGTGCCCACTGGCTCCAGAAAGAACTGCCAAGTTTTGGTGAATAGCCACACCCAATGTGTGACCCTCCTCTTCCCTGGCCCTCAATCGCTTCCTTCCTTTGGCTCTTAAGACACAGCAGATTTAATGACCTCTTTGAACGGCTTTGGCAAGATCTAATGAGGGAGGGTAGGTCAGGTGGCAAGGCCCTGTGAAAACTCTCAACTGCAGGTGTCCAGTGCCTCCACTTAGGGTTCAGGTCCTAAGACGTTGCTTAAAGGCAAAAGTGTAAAAAGGCAAAACTTGCCTCATTAGTGGTGTGCTACTATTGCACATTTCTTCCTATGTGACTCAGATTTTTGAGTCCTGGTAGAATAAGGAACAGGGCTGATGTTTCCTTGGCCTCTGAGGGCACTTTCCTAAGGGTCTGTTGTCAAGCCAACCAGAATTCTGCTTTCCTATTGGAGGTCCCATCTCCACCTTAGAGACCTGTGGGCATTCCCAAGAGCTCCTGGCAGGGAGAATGGCTCAGTTGAGTTAATGACTAGAATACAGTGCTTTTACTACTTCTTGATTTTTAACCTGTTTTCTTCTAATGCATTCAGTACCAGGCGTCTAAGTGATATTACCATTTAAGCTGAACCATGAAACAATTTAAGAGCTGAGACCTGCTGTCTAGAGGACCAAGAGGTACCTGTGTGACACAGGCCCCTTCAGTGCGTATGGCATACTGTATGGCTCTCCTGAGCCCACCTGCCCTTGGAGAGTTTTAGCCATCTTGTTTTGCTTGTTTATTTCACAACCACCAAATTTGTTCTTTCTTCTCTCAGTAAAAGGAGAAAAGCCTCTTTAGCTGGACAATACCTATGTAACAAACCAAGAAGCTGTTATTTGGGCAAAATCAAAGGAATAAAGAGACTAGGGACTTAACATTTACTGTGGGAAGGAAAAAGGGACAGGATGGGGTAAGTGAAAAGGCAGACATCCCTGGCACTTTCCCTAATTACCCAGTTTAACTATAGGCCAATTTTGGAGACTTTGGAAGTATACTTCTGCAAATCCAGACCAAGCCTAACTGTCCCTAACCTGCCAGAACTGGAGAACAAGTCCACCATCACAATCCCTTTCAGGAAACAGTACTAGTTATCACCCCAACTACAAGGATGGCCAAAATGCTTTTTACTCCTTAGCTTTGGCAGTCCATTCCTGCAAAACTTTCCAGCTCTGTCCTTGGAAGCTTGATCTCTAGTATAAGAAAGAAAGATGTGTCCACAGTGGACAATGCCCTAAACTCGCCTCTCTGCACTCCTCCTCCTTTAATATCCTTAGAAAGATAGGTCCTACCCCCAAGAGAGAGATGTAGACCAAGGTTAGAAATTATGACTAAGCTATTTTTCTCCCTGGAGTGCTTTATTTGGGCAGAACATTTTCATCACCTCCCTGATCTGCCTCTCTTGAAAGATGTCTTCCCTATGGCCTGGCTAGAGCTGCTGCAAGATAGGGACACACCCCGCCTTTGGTAAAAGAGAACAGGGAAAGGCCATAAACAAAGAGAGACCTGTAGTTTATTTTGTATTTTTTTTAAATAAATACACTTTACATTAAAGAAAAAGGCCTTTGATTTGTAATTTCCACATTTGGGAGAAAAGAGAAAAAGATTTTTCAAAAACTGAATCACAAAGAAAAATAGAGGGAGTGAACTTATATCCTAAGTTCCCTCAACTCTAAAAAACCAATATCCACAATGACCATGCTGCCCCCAAACCATGAAGGTAGGTGAATTTAGGCCTTTACTCAGCAAACAAGCAGCACCTTCCTTCCCACCTCTGGCACAAATGAAAACAAATTAACTTGACAGCATATGAGGCAACAAAACAGGTTAAAAAATCATATATTATATTTATAATAAAATATTCTTAATCCTTATCAATTTAAGAAACCACGATTTTCCTTTTCACTTAAATATTTATGTAAAAATGCCTCTTATATTGTTCTTTAGACATCATTTTCTTCCAAAGAAAATGAAGCACAGGGACAAGAGACCTGGTGGATATAAGTTCATACCCTCAGTTATAAATGCCTGTTCTGTTTTTTTTTCTTTTTTAAATTTTATAAAAAACTATTTCTTGTTCTTTAAGTAAAGAACATTGTACAAAGAAAATATATTGTGAAATAACCCCATAGACATGTCCCCCCCCCCTTGAAGAAAGCCATGTCCATTCTAGGAGAAGTGGGGAAAGCAGAATAGGGCCTAATCCCTGTTGTCTTTTGTGGATGTTATTGTTTTTGGAAGGACCCTCAGATTTCATTGAGATTCTCTAAGTCATAATTCTCTGAATGCTGGGCACGCAGTTCCTTAAAAGACAGATAGCCCTGGGAGAAAGGGAAGGGAAAGAATTCTGAATTCATCTGACTCAGTTTCTCGCCTGCCAAGAATCTCTTCCAAGTGGTGATGGCTCCTCACTCATTCAGAGATAAGATGATGTCATCTTCCAAATCAGAGTTGTCAGAGCTGTCAGCTGAAAGGGAAGAAAAGGGAGAAACTGGATTATGCACTAAGCTTACAGGAAGCTTTCAGAAAGGAAGCACCTGTGCAAGGTTAACTACTAGTTTCCAGAAAGAAGAAAATACATCAATTAACTCCCTGGAGCTGGCTCTGGAGAATATACTTGTTGCTGGCAACAGTGGTCACTCCTGGGACCTCTTGCTCTCTTATCTTTCAAAGAGCCAGGCCATGGTACCCTCTGCTTCCAGCCGGGGAGGCCCTGATGCATCAAGCCAGCACCCTCTCAAGTTTCCACGGATGGCACCCTGAATGACTGCAAAGGGGCAGGGCTTAGGGGAGCCTAGGCTTAGGTGTTTGGCCTCAGATCCTTCAAGTATAGGCCACCTAACCCGAAGGGACCACTAAAAAGAGAGACTAAGTCCAAGCAAAATTAAGAGATTAATCTGTTCTTAAACTCCTTAGCTCCTCCCTTCTCCAAGCCTCAAAAGACTGGCTGACAAAGGCAGTTAATTTCTGAATATAATCTATAGGAAACAAATTCCAAACAAGGTACAGGCCAGTTTGCAGCAATACCAGAGAAGGAGCTACCTATACAGAAACTAGGGAGGAAGCCAGGAGGAAACAGTTGTGACACCCTGGCAGATGGCACTGTCTGATCAACCATATGCCTTCTCTGGCAGGGCACAGACACACTAACACTTCTGGAAGGACCAAGGGGCAAGACTAGGTGGTAGCAAAAATCATCCTAAATATGAAAAAGATACCATATCTGGTTGATCAAAATCCTCATAAGGATTCTAGTATTTGCTGAGTAAAAGAAGAGGAAAAGTCTCAGTGCCCACTTTGAGTATTCATAGGTCAGGAAGCTATAAAAACAATTTTAACACAGTCCTCAGGAAAGTGGACAGACAGACCCTGAGCTGGAGCCCTGGAAATGTCCATAGGCTCTGGAGTTCCCATGTGGAGAAGTGTGGCAAGTAGTTGCAAAGAATCCCTCTTCAGCCTTTCCTAGTACCTGAAATAATCAACTCTTGAGCAAGCAGAGTTAGAACAACTCATGTTCTCAAATTTTCCTTCATTACAATAATCTCCTTTAGGAAGAAAACCTAGAAAAGCATGGCAATGATACCTGAAATTCCTGAAAGCAAAAGAGATGGCTGGACAAAACAGTGTTCTAAGAGGGCACATGCATGGCCTGACTATTGGTGAGGAGGGGGAAAACAAGATGGAAAGAACAAAGAACAAATTCCTGACACAGTGAACAAACCAAGCCTCGAGCTCCAGAAGGAGGCATCACAGGAAGGGGAGGGCCAAGCCCTGCAGAATATCCCAGCCCCACACCACAGACTTGGTTGGTTCCTATGGGAGCCGTCCAAAGAATCCCTCAGTGTTCATACACTCTGTGACCCAAAGATATCAGAACACCCACCTGAGACCTATTGAGCTATTAAGCAACAGCTGTATTGTTATTAAGAGCTAATAGTCTTGGCTCGGCGCCTGTAGCTCAAC